TATAATGCCATATCGTAGCCTTTCTCAAACTCGTATCTTAAAAAACAAAGTAACTGAAATGCAAAAAATGCATTGTATGTACATACATTTGCAGGACGATTTTACATCAAATTTCCTTCACATTCACACATTGACTGACTGTTACCTATTGTTAAAGTAATACATCCAAATTAAAATCCTTGATAAGAAATTTAATATAAATAGAAATTCTTGTCATCTCCTGAATAATCACTCTTTATAAGAGTTTGAGAGTTAAGTAAGGCGTCGATATATATTATCGATTTCGATAATATAATATTGGCTTGCCCATCTCTAAAGTATATTTCAAATTAGGGTTGGCCTATCCTTAAAGGATGGAAAAGAAATAGGCCTATCGGAGCGCAGTTGTCACAATGATATGGTAGAATAGTTTTCAAACAAATTAAATGACATTTCGTCTCTATTTCAGGTTATATACTCGATGCTCTGAGATAACAAATTATGCTTTGTGTCATTCTGATAATGTAACAATTTGTATGGAAAGCTAAACGTTTAATTCGCGACTTTTGGCACCTTGTATACTATGGCAGTGCTTTGTCGTTCGTGATTCATTACCATCGTCCACTACGTATGTAGAACAGCAGTGCTTCTTGTAGTAAATATAATTGACCTGATGGTTCATGTCCAAATGGGCTTTGCGCGAATAGAAAACCTAGTATCGGTAAAATTGAGTAATCAGTTTCGTTATAAATAGATGTTGAATTATAGGTTAAACGATGTACTATAATAGATAAAAGAGGAAAAGATAATACAATTAATGTATGAAACAATCACCTGTTGCTCGAGGAGAGCAGAGAGTGAAGCGGGGTGCGCGGGCGAAGGTGTACAGTTCTAAATGGGCGACTAATGACATTAGTCCTTTTGTCATCATGATACAATAGCATGAAGAGATAAGCAACAACACGTTCGTTGTGCCTGTTTCTAATAAGAAATTTCAAAGCGTGGAGCGGTTCGATGACGTTACTGAATCCAGCTAAATTAAGATGCCAGATGAAGGCGTACACGTTTTTTTCCAGGAGTACGAGATATTGAAGAACTTCTTTTTTTAGCACAATGCAACAAAATATTAAAAACAGTCTGTATTTCTCTATGTAACCCGACCGCTTCCGAGTGCAGCGTGTTACCTGTGGGTACATTATTGTAGCTTGGGATACGAGTAGTGCTGCATAATATATGTTTGTTTTATTTCATTATCTATTAACTGATGTTTGTTTTAGAAATGATACTATTTTTTGGAATCTAAATTGCGTATTTGAGTCCAGTCAGCTGTGGCACACATTGGCTTGTTTGAAAAAAGAAATATACGCGAATAGATCTGAAAAATAGTTTCATTTCCTATGTGCAACAATCGCGAAATCTTAAGTATTTTTTGTTTTGTAAAGTTGTTGGTTGGAATAAGCACGTGAAGCACTTACATGGGGAGGCCCGGCTGAGTTTCCAGAATTGGGTCATGCATGGCAAACCTTCCCGGGTCCCCGTTTATGAGTACATGTGTGCAACTAAAAAGACATTCAAAGCTCGACTTAAATGGTGCCAAGGGAATCAGGAACAGATCAAGATGGACATAATTGCATCACATCACAATAATAAGAATTTCCACCAATTCTGGAAAGAGACTAACAAGCTCAGTCCTCGGTCGGGTCTTCCTGTGAGTGTGAACGGGGTAGCCGAACCCAATAAAATCGCGGACTTGTTTATGGAACATTTTAAAGTTGAGCCTCCGGTGCGACTGTCGGCGGTGGGGTGCTCGATGCTGGTGGCCGTCATGTCATTACACCGATGGTGGACATAACGGCGACAGATGTCGCAGCTGTTATTAAAGGTATGTCAAGAGGTAAGTCCCCGGGACACGACGGTCTGAGTATTGAGCACTTCCAGCATGCGGGAGCCCATTTGTCAAGGGTACTGGCACTTTTGTTTGGTATGTGTATGAGACATACATACGTATCTGCCTGTAAATCTTATGCGTACAGTGTTGGTTCCACTTGTGAAAAATAAAACGGGGGATGTGTCTGATTTAGGTAACTATAGGCTAATATCGTTAGCTACCATAACAGCTAAAATACTGGACTGCTTGCTTGATCGCATTTTAACGAAACACCTAGACTTGCATGACGCACAGTTCGGGTTCAGTCCCGGACTATCCACAGACAGCGCGGTATTATGCCTCAAGCATACAGTTCAGTATTACACAAAAAGAAGGACACTCGTGTATGCGTGTTTCCTCGACCTCTCAAAGGCTTTCGACCTTGTCTCATATGACGTGCTATAGCAGAAGCTGCCCTGTGAGGCGGATCTCCCGGATGAAGTCACTGGGTTGTTCCGCTACTGGTACGAAAATCAGACTAACAGTGTTAGATGGGCGGAAGTGTATTCAAAAGATTACAGGTTGAAATGTGGGGTGAAACAAGAGGGGGTTACATTGCCGAAGCTTTTCAACCTGTATATTAATGCATTGATCGTGGAACTCAGCAGCGCCAAATTGGGTTGCTCTATTGATGGTACTTTCATTAATAATATAAGTTACGCTGACGATATGGTGCTGTTGACTCCTGCGATCAGTGCACTTGGTAAGCTGCTCAGGATATGCGGAACACATTGGAGACATATGCGGAAGCCCATGGACTCAGGTATAACATGAAAAAGACCGAGCTCCTAGTTTTTAAGCAGAAAGCAGGTTCTGTTGGAACTGTGCCGCCGGTGTTTCTCTATGGTAGTGAGATAAGTCGTGTCTCTCAATTTTAGTACCTGGGTCACTGGGTAACCGATAACTTGCATGATAGTGCCGACATGGAGAGGGAGAGAAAGGCCCTGTCTGTTAGATGTAATATGCTCGCCCGCAGGTTTGCTCGTTGCACCAAAGATGTAAAAATTTCATTATTTAAAGCATATTGCCAAAACTTTTACACAAGCAGCCTGTGGGTGAAGTATACGCAGAGAACCCTGGATACATTAAGGGTGCAACATAACAACGCTTTTGGGATGCTGATGGGGCTGCCGCGATACTGTAGTGCATCCGGCATGTTCACGAAGGCGCACACACATTGCTTTCATGCCATTATGCGCAAGAAGGCTGCCTCACTTACGATGCGTATGCGCGGCAGCGCTAATAGCATCCTAGCCGTTGTTGCCAATAGGCTGGACTGCCCCTACCAACTACATTGGGTGCAACTACATGTGCGTATGGTAGTGGTCTAGACTTTCACTTCTTTTCACTAAAATTAAGTAATTTTGTATTGTACTAACCATAGCATGTAAGAAAAATTTACTGTATTACTAACATTATTATGGATCATGGTCCGAAATAAATAATTCTATTCTATTCTATTCTAAAATAATATTTTGAGAACTGAAAAAAGTCATTTTGAATGTGTTTTTTCTGCCTAAGTATAACTGTTTACGCCTTAATAGACTAAAAAAGAAGTAACTATTAATGATACCAAGGCTTAAAATTTATTATTCAATAGGTCAGTTGCTTCAGCTGTACCAATCACAAGTTCGGTCGTGTATGGAGAACACTTATGGGATGGCTCTGCTTAAATACCAACTGGCCACCTTGGATTCAATCGACAAACGTGCTAAGAGGCCGTAGACTTGCCAGCTTATCGGTATTCTACAAGGTATACACGCAGAGTGTGCGATGGAATTGCATAATTTGATTTCTTGATTTTGATTTCGGCTTCCTCTTTCCATCATGCATGCTACATCGTCGACCTCATCATCACTTTCGATCAGGTGAGATGGAGGTCAAATGCGCACTTATATTTTATAAAAAAAAGGTTCCGTGTAGATATTCCAGCAAGATCCTGTAGATGCCTACTTTATGTAGGTCTACCAGAATCTGATCGCACTTAGACAAAATTTAAATTTGTAGTGGGTAATATCGATATAGTCAGAAAAGACGTACTAGACATTGATCAGAATAGATCTATATGATCCTCGTCTACTTTTTATGATTCTGTATGAATTGTGTTTGTGTATATGAGAGAGAAACAAAAAGTAAGGTTTGACACTAAAACAATATTAATGATGATAATAATTTATGATGTCTGAATATTTCAGCTAATGAACATTCCACTATAGGACACAAAAAAGAAATTGTGTACATTAAAATTTTTATTCTGTAGGAGTCCATTTTCAGACCTTCCACTTCTTCTCTTGTATGCATGAATTGCTTTTATAATGCTTAAAATTCTTTAATAATAAATTTATGTAGGGATAAAAGAAAACCAGAATGTTGATAAAAATTCGCAGAAACTTGTTTGGACTTTTAATTCGTAAATTGGTACAGAGCAATCGTCTTAACGTCTTTTCGTCTTCACCTCATTCAAAGCTCAACCGTTCTCCTCTCTCACTCGCACAGATCTTCTATCTCGCACACCTCGTTCGGATACATTTAATATTATCATGATACAAACTACATTCAGACGTTCCTAATCCCACATTTATTTTCTGTTTCTAAGGGCTTCACGATCCAGTAATTGCGTAAAATATAGATGGCGTAAAATTGATCAATGCCATCTAGCGACATTAGAGGGAACTTAAAATACTCGGTTGCTTATGGCAGCGTATTGCTACGCTGGTAGATTTTAAGTCTATGATTTCAGCGGTCCTTGGGTAGAGAGTAAAACTTCTAGATTTCTTTTATAATTGTCATTTATATTACTACAAACATTTGTTTGTTTTAGTATCTGTTTACGTTTAAATAGTATTAACGTGCATTAAATAAAACCTTAAGCCTATTTACAATTTCTCCAAATAAACATTTTGAAATGTTAAAAAGAATGATCATACCCAAGAGTATTATCACTTATGTGTTGTTAATATCTGTATCCTTTGTATTTTTTGTTTGCGTTTTTTTGATATCAAATGACGAAAGCTACTTTAGATTGCCGTTGCAAGATCTCGTAACAATTAGATGGTGTAAAAAACTAAGGAAAATATCACAACCTCGTAATCCAGTAGGTTTGGTCTCGGCCCCTGGATGTGGTAACACTTGGCTTCGATTCCTTTTGCAACAAGCTACTGGTACTTTTCCAAATCTAATATTTTATGTAATTTTTCGCTTACTTTTGTTAGGCTGTAGCAGTGTTTTTACTCGAGGGTAACCACCAATGAAAATGCGTATTGCGTGCTTAGTTACTACACGTGCTCGTTTCAGCAGTTTTGCTAGAGTCTGTTCTAACGAGAAGATTGAGGCCATTGACCACTACTTTACTTACCATCTACTTGATCAGGTTTAAAATTTAATTTGGATTGTTAAATTCCCCAGGCATAAATCATAATTTTATAGTAATTCTCCAGGCGTACTAACGGGATCAATGTACAACGATACATTACTACACGGAGTAGGATTCCCTGGAGAGTACTGCAACGATGGTTCAGTGCTAGTGGTGAAGAACCACTACGATGTTAACAGGACCATAAAATCAGCCCAATTTGACTCAATCATACTGCTCATTCGGAATCCGAGAGACTCTATATTGGTAACTAAGTACTTGATACATTTACGTGGAGTTCTTTTCTATGTAATGTAGAAGGCGAACGAGCAGACGAGGCACATGATAGGAGTTATTAGTCATCGTCGCCCATGGACATCTGCAACATCGGATGAGTTGCCTATGCATTGCCAGTCTTTGAGAATCCAGCTGACACGCTTTTTGAAGAACCTCATATCATATCATAGCGCAAAGGCAATACTTCAGGAGACCATTCCACATCTTGCAGATTTTGAAATACAGCCACTCTGGATCAAACCGATTTATAGACAATATATAATACTTTTGAAGGGTTTATTCTTCCAACGTTGAGGTTTCCTTTCGATGTGTTCCTTCACCTGAAAGGTGCGATGATCATTAGTAAGCATTCCATAAATTAAATCTGCTACTTGTATCTGATATTATTGATACAAACATCGAACAATCACAAAGAAAAATTCCTTCGGCCATTCTGTCAACTGATCGAAATAGCAATCTTGCGAATCTCATAATCTTGCGATCTTTATGTTAGGTTTAAACGGCTTTTTCCCATAGCGCCATCTATTGAAAGTTTCTACACGAAGCCAGATACCATTACGGCTACCAGAAAACTGCTACTCTGTCTCTGCTTCTCTGCTGAGAAATTGCTTCAGTTAAGACCCCAGGCTTAATAACTATAATTTATTGCAGGCTACATATAACATGGAATACGCAAAAAAAATTGAATATGAACAAAGTGATAATGAAACAATAGTATTAATAAATTTTCATGTTTTTGTCGCGCCACCATCTGTGTTTAGAAAGTGAGTCATTAATAATTATTTTCGTAACTTAAACTTCTTCTGGACTGGGTAACTAAACAAACGAGCTATAATCAACAACAGGCATTATAAATATTTACACAAAGTCACTTACGCGAAATCGTCTTGAAGCATTAAAAAAAGCATTACTTCTATGCAGTAAGAGCGAAAACGATATTGTGTGTTCCCCAAGGGTCGAGTAGCGTCATCCGTCATCGAAACACCCTTTTCACTCTTATGGCACGGACGTAAAACTATATCTGACCAGCTCAAGCTGTGCTAAACGATATCCACATGGCTATTCACAACGGAATTGACCGTGTGACAACCTCGATAGCTTTGATATAGTGTGGTCCTCTCAAATAAGAATGGAGATGCATAGAAACTCATCATCATCAACAACAATATATCCACCGCTGGACTTAGGCCCCAGCTCGTTGCATCCATCTGGCCATAGGGCGTCCTACACTACGTTTTCCGAGCCGTAGTCTCCACTCAAGAACTCGCTTCCCACTGCCACTTCAGCTTGCTTGTTCTACCAGCTACGTCGAGACCTTAGTTCTCTGTCGGATAACCCCGTTCCGTACCTTGCCCTTCAAAGAAACTCCAAGCACAGCTCGTACATATATGCATAGAAACTGCAACAACTTTAAAGACGTACAACGGAATCAGGCAGAACCCCATTGGTGAGATAGCTGTAGCTAATTCATCGTAATGAAATTGGAATGCATTATAATATAAACTTTAATTACCTTTTTAGATCACCCGACAAGTGGTCATCTAGGGTCACCTTTCATTTACAAGAATGGACAAAACTGTACACTGACTGGCTTACTAACTACCAAGGCCCAATTCTCGTCGTGTTCTACGAAAACTTGATCAACGACACCAGAAATGAGCTAAAAAGTATACTAGACTTTTTAAACGTCACTGTTTCAGAGGTACATTTTTACCATCATCAACTCCTCTATATTAATAGTTGGCTGGATGGTGACTATTTGATGTTCACTGTTTGTATCTGGATTTTTACGAGATTTGTTACGAGAATTAAACATTACATTACATCCAATCATAACTATCATCAATCTATATACATTCTATGCTGGTACAATACTCAAGTGCGGTTTTATCGAAATATGTTCTATATTTTTTTTGCAGTGGGACATCATGTGTGCGATTGATAGGCAAAATGATTTGGATAACATCTTCCGCCGTCTTAAGAAGTTTAAATACTTCGATCCTTTCACTAAAGACATGTATAAGAAAATGGAGCTGGCCAAAAATAGAGTCTATAGCCTTGTCAAATAATGAACAGTTACGAATGGCCCACGCAACATCATTTCATGCACTAACAGAACTCGCTCTCCCCTTAAGAGGATATCAGCCGCGTAATATTGGTATCATCTTTTTAGAACTGTCGTCATGGAGATCAACTACGACAAATTAAATAGGAAATAATTGGACTTGTTGCGAAACTAATATCTGTAGATAATAATCATCTAATTATAAATGTTTGTTTGTTTGTCCCTTATGCATTTCATTATTATTCATCCGATTACGATAAACTTTCGTGAGTTGTTGTGCGCATGCTCGCAAAAGTTTCCGTAATATATGTATATATAGTTATACTGGTTTTACATGTTTTCAGTGGCATTGCCAGTATACATTAAAATTCATTTCACATTTTTCAACTCTGAAAAGTTGTTGGTGTAGAAAGAAGAAAGGAAGTTTAGATTTAACTTGTTTGTGTACATGAATTGATAGTGGTTGTACGGTACACGCGGTAAAATTAAAAGGAACCAGAAAAGAAACAAGCCATTTTGACACAATGTATATTAGGGTGTTTAATTATTCCAAAGATGTGATTTTTATGTGATTTTGCTTACGCCCCGAGCCTCAGTGTTGTATAAGATATATATGCTGAATTTCAAAAAGATTGGATAATATTTAGGGGTTGCACACTTTGGTCACTTTTATTTTATACTTGTGAAATTTCGAATATGGAATTTTCAGGTATTTCTTTACTTTTTTTGTAGTTAATTGTACTTTAAAGTGGGAACCATAACAGGAATTTGGCTACTAGAATACCTACTTACCTACTTAGTAGCAAGTTTTTAGGATCTCGGAGTATTCAAAGGAATAAGATTGGGCAACATTAGACAACATCACATACGTCGCACTTGTCTCAAAGTAAGTAACTAAAGCACTTATGTTATGAAATTCGGAAACAATGACGCTGTCACAAACACCCAGATCCGAGACATTCTATATTGTCAATTTCTTCAGTTTATCAGTCAGATCAAGTCGGTTTTTCTACATTATCCGGCCGCGGATCATACCCGGTATCTCAGATACGGCGACACCATGAAAACCGGTGTGCAAGCCACATGATCACGGAGGTCGTCAATCCAAAACGTTCTGAACGTCGGTAACCATCCAAGAGAAGAGTACAAAGAGTTATTACAAGTCGTACTCGAGTACCCAGGAGGTTGGTCTAGGAACTACTTCAGTTACAAAATTTCAGGGAGTCTGCATCGAGCAATATGGATGACAATGGCAATATTATGCACTTAAAATTGAAAAGAATTGAAAAGAATGAAATTAATTGCACATTTTGTCAGTCTCATATACGTTCAATTTTGGCACCAAAGAATGTTTTGTACATACAACTTCTGAGCACTTCAAAAAACAATTGCTAGGAGACACTTTCTGCTGACAGAAACAAACGTAAGATTGGTTGTTTTAGGCTGGAAAATATAGTTAAAAATTTAGAAACCAAACGAACAAATAAAAAGGAAATGAAAAGATTAGAGGGTAAAAATCCGATTTTGAAGGAAAAAACTTAAGCCAACAAGAAAACAAAGACTGTTTAAATTGTTTGGGTTCCTCGACGTGACGGAATACTTGCGTGAATCTCTAAGAAACCATGTGACCGGTATTAAGGTGGTCAGTAGTACGACAGAAAGAGCTTGAGACATAGAGAGAAACTGCTCTAATAAAAAAATTTAATGAATCGGTCATTGACGAACAACAAAAACAAAATTCTTCTTCAGGTTAGTAGTATATCACAGAAAAGTCGTCACAGAATGAACATTAAAAGGGATTGTATCGTTCAAAGTGAAATTACAGATACATGGGGTTTGTTAACTTATGTCTTAAGGTGCTGTCTTGTGGTGGGCGCGGTGGACCTTTGTGATTTAAAGATCTGAGTGGCATTGCAATTATTACTCTGGTGTCCCTTACCATCAGGCGCACGACGTGTTAATCCCGTCATTTGTTTTCTTTTAAAAAAAAGTTGATTAATATATTATATAGCACATCTTTTGCGTATTAATCTTAGCGTCTTGTTTCAATATAATTTTAAGTTCGTGATTTGTACTTTTCTCAATAAAAATAATTAACATAGAAAAATAGTATTTTTGCCTACAAAACTGCTGCCTTTTTTCAAAAGTGATCAAAGTGTGCAACCTCTAAATGTAATTCAGTCTTCTTGAAATTTGGCATATATGTGTTTTACATCACTGAGGCTCAGGGCGTAAGCAAAGTCTGCAAAAAATTTACATTTTATTTTTTGCCTAACAAAATGAAACATCGTAATGTAGATATATAATAAAATCAACGATGTTAAATAAAACTGAATATTATACTTATTAATTTCTTAGTCAATAGTTTATCTAATAAGCCACGAGAAATTTCTGATTACGATTGTAATTTTGTTTTTGTAACTTTCTAACAATGGCATTAAGAAGGGTTATCTATTTTTGGCCCAAATGTTGCTAGCTATATTTACTGTATACCTGTCCGATCCTGCGCAGTACTCAAGAGCTTCTCAAGGACATTGAAAGTTACATTCATATTTAAGCTTAGAATTATATTAATATTAACTATAGAACATGTATAGAATGATAGTTTCATATCAAACGAACTTTCACAAGTGAGGCAAATATCAAATTTATGTAGGCTAGTTTTAGTAGTAGGTTAATTTTCGGTTTTAGTGAATATTTATATAAAAATACAAGTTGAAACGCGTTACTTCTTTGTGGAATGTGATGTTAGTATCTATTTTATGTTTGTCTGACGTATTTTTACACTCATTTACCGCACATTTCGTCATTTTTAGCTAAAATTCTTGATCTGTTCGCAGTGCAAGTTGACCTTGAGCACTGAAGACCCGCCCGCTCGTGTAGGCCCATTAGGGCGCGCTTCAATTTGCCTCACTTAGCGTGTGCGGACTAGGTTTCTATGCGTCATTATTCTAAGTATTTAAGTATAATTTCATTTGTTTTTTACAGTAAAAAAATCTTTACAATGGATTTGAAATATATCGGAATTGACAAAATACTCGAAATTAACGAGCAATGGAGTAGACGTATTCGCGGAATTGAAACTTTACCCAGAATTGGAATTATACACCCTGAAAGTACTCTCCACTCCGATCCATATTTAATGGACTGAATGATTGATGTTGGCCTATTTACCTAAAGCTAACAAAAGAAAAATTCATAGACTTGACTTGGTTGTACGGTTTACCTGTATGGCTGTATGGTAACCTTTGCCTTTTTCGTAACGGAAAGAAAAGAAAAAACAACAACAAATCTTAGAGGATGGAAAAAAATAAAAGAATTAGTTTAGTTTCCATAGTCTAAAGGATGGAATTTTCCATAGTCTAAGCATAAATGGGGCATTTTGTCATTGGTTATTCATGCTAGAGAGTGCTGTGCGGTCATAAAATAGAGACTTCAACACTAAACAATACAAATTAATATGAATAAAATTTGGTGGAAAATTTGGTGGCGACTGATGGGCGAGCGGACGGCGCTGCAATTTGCAAATTTTGGAATAAATGTGAATTTAATAACTAATAGGGCTCCAATGGAAAACCTAAATTCACATAAAGAGATATAAATATCTCGGTATAAAAATTCTGTACAAAGTTGGTTTCTATATTCTAAGACAAAGTTACATTTTATTCTTAAATATTTCGGTTTAGATTTTTGTTTCAGCCTGTTTTCAGGATTTTATACGATCTATCGTGTAACACTTTAGCACATTCTTTAGACGATATTCTTAGATGTACTGTATATTTGTGGAGTACCGTTCTTTTTAATAGTAGATACCTAAACCATTTGATCAAACAATTTTACCGTTACCGATAAAATGAGCATATTGCGAGGTTATGCTCCAAAAATAATCTACGGACTGCTTTTTGCGTATACCTTGGGTAAAGAGCTTAAAGGATGGAAAAAATAAAGAATCAACTCCATTATTTGTAGACTACGACTTAATCACGTGACAACTCCTGTCCACCTGTTCAAACTCAACATTGTTCCTGACCCTGGATGCTCATGCGGGGCCTATGGCGATCTAAATCATATCTTCTTCTCCTACCCCTCAATTGACCACGCTACTTTCATATACGAATTCCTAGCCATCAGTGTCCCACTCCCCACCTCCATAGTAAGTTTATTATATTTATACAACAAAGATGTTTACAATATTCTGGCCTTATTTATTGAAAATAATAATATCAAGCTTTAATATGTATGAGATATAACAGCTACCCACCTTCCCAATCCTTTTTCATCCAAATTCCGTACCTCGTCGATAATCTGTAATTCTGCCTTAACCCTTTCATTGGCTAAATGCGAAGGAAAAGCCGGATATTAAAAAAAACTCCTAGTTTTTTTCCAACTGTCATTTAAAATGCTATTACCAGGTCCTCTAATCCTACCAAAATTTTTTTTTTTAATATTATAAACACAATTTTTGAATCTGGCATAGTCCCTATTTCATGGAAAACCCAAATTATCATTCCAATCATAAAACCTGGGAAAGACCCATCTAATGCAAACTCGTATCGACCTATCGCCCTATCATCTGTTTTAGCTAAAATCATGGAACACCTAATAAAAAACCGTCTGGAATGGATAGTAGAGAGCAAGGGATTGTTACCCAGAAGCCAGTTTGGCTTCCGAAAAGGCATGGGCACTATGGACAGCCTAAGCATTTTTTCATCAGATGTTCGACTAGCCCTCTCCGAGGGAAAACACGTCATAGGTGTGTTCTTAGACATAACATCAGCTTATGATAACGTGAATCTTCCACTACTCTGGCAGAAGATGCTCAATCTGTGTATTCCTCTGAAGATGATCAATGTCATTTACAACATGTTTATGGGTCGCTCTATCGTAGTGCGTGTTAACGGTTCCACAACCCCCTCCCGTATGGTCTGGAACGGCTTGCCTCAAGGTTCCGTTCTTAGCCCTCTCCTTTTCAGCTTGTACACGTCTGACCTCGGCACTTCAGTCAATTGCTTCTGCAAAATCTTGCAATATGCAGACGATATCGCCCTGTACGCTTGTTCCAAATCTTTTTCAGATACTGAAAGACGCCTCAACTCAGCCCTTTTTTACCTAGACTCTTGGCTTACCGATCACGGCCTCTCTCTTTCAGCTAACAAAAGCACAG